GTGAAATCCGCTTCAGAGAGCTGCCAGCCTGCATTGTTTCTAAATTTAGAAACCAAACCAGGTTTTTATTCAGGTTTTTTTTCCAAGCAGATACATTTGCTCTACAGAGGCTGCAGAAATACGCTCAACTGTGGCTGTACCTGGAAGAAAACCAGCAGGTCACCGCCTGGGGGAAGCAACAAGAGGTACATTCGGGTGGGAGCGTTCATCACGTAGCAGAGCAACAGTTTATGAAGGTCAAGCCCCTCTGTGGCAGAGGAGGGCTCTGTTCTCACCCCAGCGCTGGGCTGGGAGTCTCTCTGGTAACGCTCTGTTTGAGCGGCTACACAAAGCCATAAATTCACACGCAGAATGGCTCATTCCAGCAGCCTCCGTGCAAACACTTGGCTCACAAAAACCAATCATTTCTGCCTGGAAAAGTACACATGGTTATTTTTAGGTTCCTGTTCTCTTCAAAAATAACTGGAGGCACAAATCCAAACCTCCAAAATGTGGCATCATTTCAAAGCCACAGGGGACGTTTGGAGGGTTTTTCAAATACCAAAACATCAAGTTTCCCGCTGAAATAGAGCATTCAAAAATATCTAGGGCAAACAGATACCTTGCCTTTTCCTCAGCTGCAATGCCCTGTTAAGCAGTGGAAGTTTTTAAGCACAGGTTATGTCAGTTATCCCCACAAAATAATGCTACTTCTACACAAATCACTCTGCTTTTGTTCAGAATGGAGATTTCCAGGAAAACAAGCCCTAAACTCAGAGACAAGCCTGCAAGCCTATAGATGCCAGGCTTCCACTGATTTATGCCCAACAAAAGTCACCTCTAATCCCCAGGGCTGACCTTCACAGCATCTTCATTCAGAATTAGGAGCTACTGGGGTTTCCTCTGAGCAGACAGCACATGCGTCAGAGATGTCCATCTAGTCAAAATCTCAGCCTTCAGCAATGCTGACCTATGCGTTCCTGCGCTTATTTTGAAGAATTGTAGATGATTTCCACCTAAAAACAAGCTTTTATGGAACAGGGGAAGGTATTCAGTTATAACAACACTGAGTAATCAAAACCAGAACAAATCCCTGTCTTCAGCAGAAGTCCAAAGTGTGACTGCAGCTACCACCAGTTTTGTTTGCAGAGCCCTACTCTAAGCTATGATGGGAAGAGTACCTTCCCCTAGCAGAAGGGTACAACAGGTCGTAGGCACTGAGGACACACCAAAAACTTTCTTCAAGGGTAACCCGTGAATAACACTTAGGCACTTTTTGCTGCATGGCAACTGTGCCCCAGATACCTGGAGATGGCTCTGATTTTGAAGCCACATGAGGATATTTACAGTTAGAAACCATGAAAACCCATCTGTCTCTTAATTGCAATACCACTTTTTAATTTGATGAGTGCACATGTGCAGAAATTCCCCAAGAAAGACTCTCTAATTATCTAGGCCTAATGACCTTAGAAAAGCCTCCTGTTTCCTACAGACAACAGTTTTCTTAAAAAGAATGGGATGAGGGTAATCTTGGAAACTTCCAAGTTCCATGGGAAGAGAAACGAGAAGATAAAAGGAGTTGAAACCAAGTGAGATGTGTTGGAAGCAGGGCATGCTAGTCCAAAAAGATGAAGCAGCTGATGATGATGATGGAAAAAGCCCTAGAGGTATGATGCATTTCCTCCAAATGAAGAAAAAAGACTAGGAAAGAGTGTGATTATCCCTAACTGATCAGGAATTGGACATCAGGGAAGCTGAGTAGCAACAGAAACTAAACGACCATAACACAGGGATGTAAATATTTACAGCAAGTTGAGACATCAGTTGAATATAAAAACTAAGAAATATTCTTATCAGAAAGAGTTTCATTTGTTTTTTTTATTTCCCAATTAGAATAATGAGATTGAACAACCCATCATGTAAAATGAAACTCAGTTCATTTAACAGGATTATGAGATACAATTACCTACAATAGCTGGAGATCAGGAGACCTACAAGCCAACATATGATAAGCAACCTTTCTCCCACTCCTCTCATGCCCCAGATGGATCTTTTCCCACTCCAAAGCTGCAGGATGACCCACTACAAGCAGCTGTAGCTCTGCAGAAGCATTAGACATCCAACATGCCTCAGTACACATTGCCATTAGCTACTGGAGAAGTTTAACATGCAATTATCATCTGAAAGTGATTACTCAACAATGTTTTGTTTTACTGAAAAGATCTGCATACACGTGACTGCATATTCTGTATGGAAACATTCCTCAAAAGAGACTTTCTTCTACAACTGTGGACAAAATAGAATGGAAATACAGCTGGACAATCAGGGTTCATTTTAAATATTGACACTGGACCTTGCTTTTCAGAATTCACGTGTCCAAGCTCAGAATTGGCCAAGCAGTAACAAGAATATTTTGGTGGAGAAGCCGAGGAAGTGAATCTACTGGTCACAGATTGGGTAAGGGCAATCAACTGTTGCTGCACCAAAACGGTGTTAGCTAAAAGACAGGGCTTAAGACAAGTAGCAGATCACTCTACAGAGAGAAATAAAAAAATCCATTTGTATTGGAAACATAAAATGGTATTAGGCTCTTGGTTATTAAAAAAGAAAAAAACAACCCTGGAAAAAAATCCCACCCTGCAGGCCCAGCTCCAGGATTCACTGCTGCCGTACATACCACAGTTTTTACTTATACAGCAAGGCAACTGTTACGTGCGTGAAGTCAACACCATCATCCACGTTATTCAGACAAAGCCGCAGGTGGGATCTGAGACTTCTTCCCACTGAACTTCTGCCAAGCTTCCCTCCTCCAATACTTTACTCTTCTCAAAATACTTATTTTTTTTTATATGACTGCCTAAAACATTAAAGTGGAAATCACAAGTTAAGGTTCACTGATCACAGACTATTTCAATCTATGCTAATTTGTCTCCAGCATTTGGAATTTTGGGACCCCGCTAGGCATTTTGCAGGGACAAAGTTGTTTTCCAGAAAGATAAAGATCCCAGGCTTTTCATCCTGAGCCTTCCAGTGTCTTTCAGCAGCATTACCAGACAAGTTTGCTCTCTACTTAACAATAGTCACCTACAGAAGATGCTGTCTAAGGAGTTACTTAAGAAAGCATACTGTTTGGCAAGAAAACCCAAACATAAGTCTAGGATGCTTAATAAAGCAACAAAAGCTAAATAAAATCTCCCCTATGTGTCTACATGTAAAAAGACCAAAATCTGCCTTTAAGCATCACAACAAGGTGATAGGAAACCAACTTTCCTTAAGACAAGAGGTCCTGCAAGTGTTCAACTCTTCCCAGAAAAGCAGACTGCATACTTGAGAAAGAGAAATTTTGCTCCAAACACTTTTCAGAAAACAGAGTTATAAAAGCCAAAGAACCTAACAAAAAATAAGGAACTGTGTTTCAATATAGTACCAGACTCTGTCACTTGGAATGCACAATATGGAAATGCTCACTGCCTACGGCAATCAATATGCTTTCAATATTTTAGTCCAAGTTACTGCCCTATTCTTTAAATTACACAGCTCATAAGCAGAGTATCTTCAGCAACAATTCCTTTCATGTAATGCCAGCTGGGTGACACAATGGAAAAATGCCATATGGCCACTTCACGCAAAGTGAAGCATTCACAGTGCTTCCACAGCAGGAAAGAGTTAGCAGCCTGGTATCAATCGTGCTACAAACCAGTCCCACAGCAGGCCCAGCATCCCTCAAAGAAAATCATGCCATGCCATAAAGACATTTTGGGAAGAAAGTGCACAGAGGCAGGTGGTACTGTCACCTCCTCCAGCCTGCTGCCCCACAGGAGAGCTGTAGCATCCGTCAGTACAAGATAAGTCCTCTCAAGAGCACCTGAGATCCCAGCAGTCACAGAAAATTGGGATAGAAAGGCTGGTCATCAACAACCTCCCATTTGATACCATGCTGCTGCAACGCCAAAAGCCATGTGGTTCAAACCATTCCAGTGCAGTAATGGCTCTGTGCAAAGGGAAAATGAACAAGTAGTTCCCCAAATGCTTGCACATCAGCTGTGGTAGACATTGTTGGCTGCAGCTTTGGAGCAGGAAAGAGGGACCCAACTTCTCTGAGCAGTTAGGGAACAACCCTGATCCACCCAGCCTCTTCCCTGGCCACAGGGAAGTGGTAGGAGAAGCATAATTACAGATGTTTTCAAAACTCCTGGTGGGTTCCTATTGTGCTATGATTACACACATTTCCTCACTGTGAAAAAAGTGATTAACTAGTGAGCAGATTTTCTTAATGAAATATGAGAAGGAAGAGAAAAGGAAAAGGGGAAGGAATGACACAAGGCAGTGTATGACACTGTGCATGCTTCACACTATCAGTACAGAGTGGAAAACACATCCATAATGATTAAGTAACACTGGAGGAAGGGGAAAGCTGTTTCAACTGTGTCCCCAGTCCCAAGTCGAGAGGTGCCCTGTGACGACCCATTTACTCCTCCAGCTCTCCGCACCCAGAGCATCCAATTCCAAACCTTCCCAACCACCCACCATCCCTCCTGAGCCCACAGCCCACTCCTTACCTACAACCACTTCCCATCTATCCTGTTAATGGCTCCTGGAAGTTTCTGCTCTAATTTCACAGTGCTGGCATTCATCCAGAACTTCAACCCAATCCTCCCCAATGCTCAAAACCCTGCCACCCCGCCATCCCCTCCACCACCTTCACCTGCCTGCAGCACAAACGCTTCAGCTTTTGTTTCTAGCAGGAGATTTTGGAAACCCAAGGAGAAGCTGCCATTTTCAGTAGTCTACTGAGCAAAACCCTCATACCACGGGGCAGGGAGGGGTATAATTTAATACAAAGAGAAGACATGTGGCAGCCCCAGTTAAAATGACATTTTAAAAGAATAAATCTTTCAGGCACTTCTGAAAAGACCTGAAATTGCTCCCAATAACACCATATCACATGTCAAGCAAGATAAAGAGAAGGGCCTGGGAGGATGTCCTGGAGAACAGCATCCTGGGGACCAAGATAAAAGCCAGGAAGCAGATATAACTCATACTGCTGCTCCACTGGTGAAAGGTGGAAGAGGACTTTGCAAATTCTATACATCGGCATGGATCACAAAGTTTTTCAGCTGAATTTCACTCACTGTGTATTCTGCATGTTTTTTCCCATACCATTTCATCCACTTTCTGAACTCTCTGTCCATCGTCTAGAGAGGGAGAAAAAACAAAACCACCTATTAGGACATCTCATGTTACCAGTTACAACACAGTAAAAGAAGGTGCAGCTCTGACAGTGTTCATTGACCCTCCCAAGACTTTTTGGTTGGTTGGTTTGGGTTGGGTTTTTTTTTTGCCATTAACACTCAAAGGATAGGCAGACAGATAATTACTGTAGTTTACTTGAAAAGAAAAAAAAAGAAAAAACCAAACCCTTTGCTTCCCCAGGGCCAAATCAAAGCTGGCATCTTCTTCTCTCCCCACTTTTCATCGAAGTTACAGGTTATAAGCAAGGCAATCTGAGCTGACGCTGCTCAGCACTAAAAATGGTGCGACCTTAAGTATCTACTGTAAGGGCACATAATCCCACAGTGAGTAGGAGGCACCGAAAGCAGCCCTGCCTAAGTCCGGACAGCAAAGGAATAGATGGGATAAAGCCAGGTCTGCTGGGGTCAATGAGAAAGCAGAAGGTGGCACAAAAAGCAGCAGCCAACTAAGGAGCATCACACTTGACAGAGCAACGAGGGATAATGCTTCAAACTACATCTAAACAGACTGAGGCCACTACTACCCAACCAGGTAGCTGGCATCGGTTTTCCACTGCTCAAATATAGGAGAAAAGAACCAAAAACCCTATATGTAACCAAAACCACCCATGTAGCTTGATGCCTTACAACCATCCATCTCCACATTTACAAAATCGTGTCCCCATCTACATAAATTGACAATATGCAGCACAGATCAATACTTGTGGCTGTGAGGGTCCAGCTACACCTGTACAACACATCTGAAAATAAAATTCAAGTGTCTTGGAAAACTGAAAAACCTCCTGAACTTTAGGACTTGCCTCCACAAATGAAGGGCCCAGATTTGGAGGTAGCAGAGAAAGGAGACAAGGAAGAAATAAGAGAGCAGGAATTCTTCTTCTTCTTTCAATTTTTATTCTTTTTTAAGACAACTTCACAAAAACAAACCCATAACACTCTTCCTCTTTAGCTGAAGCTTTTCAAAGTCATCTGCATTCATTATCATAGTAACCAGAGATGTGTTGCCACAGCCAATCTTAACTAGAAACTTAATCCAATCCCTTCCACAAATGTTTGTCAGAGACAGAGAGAAAACTGGTCCCTTCAGACAGCACAAGGCAGATTAGCTGTACACAGGCAGCTTCACACATTCTGACACTGCAGCAGCTGTTTAGTTGCTAAATCTGACAGGACATTGTCTGTAACCAGAAGAATAATGCAGTACATTTTGTTCATCCAGTAATTTCATGAAATACTGGTTTACTTCTGAAACTGAAGGTACCACATGAGTTAATACTGCCAAGACCCAATTTGTGGGTAATTTTTTGTTTGTTTGCTAACCATTTTCACTACAGCCTCAAGTTTGCACAACTACATGAAGGGGTATTGGTGAAAGAGAACTTAATTTCCCTTTACCATTGATCTTGAAGCTTACCACTAAACACAGATGGGAGCCCAGCTTTGCAAGTGCCTTCCCAGTGAAACCAGAACACACACAAGGGACTGCAAAGAGAGATCCAGTTGGAAATTTCCACTGGGTCATGGCAGGGGAAGCAAAATGGATTTTTAGATCCTTGTCTGTTCCTCTTCACCACTGTGTTTATGCATTTTTGCCCTCACCACTGAGAAGGAGGATCAAGGGGTTTAATTTTTTTCCCCTCTCTTCATAAGGTATAATTTTCTAGCCCATATAGGCTGAGTCAGCTTGTTTCAACAATATAGAGGGACAAGTTTCTGTTCAGTCTACTGAAAAAAGTAAACTTCTCATGGTCAGGCATGACTAACCTTTATTGTTTGCTTGTAGCTCATTTGCCTTCCAGGTTTGTCTTGGAACTGATTATCTTTGTGTGTCCCCATTGGCACAGAATTAGAAGAAGCGTAAAGAAAACTGCCTGCCTGACTAAACACCATGGTTTTCTTATAATAAGACTTCATTAAGGTGCCCACTAAGCAGTTATTAACCAGATACCCAACAGAGGCCTCATCAATTAGCTTACAATGGTTTAATAACTAATCTGAACTTCAGCTTTAGGACATCAAAAAGGGGCATTACTACTGTAGGCAGAAATGTAGCCTTTAAAACCTTTAAAAACTACTTTTTGGTGTATTAATTCCCAGGTTTGCTTAATGCTGTGGTCTCTGGAAAGGCCCAGTATTAGAGCCATTTCAGACACAGGATGATTTGCAGGGGTTTAGGTGAAGCTTACACTGCACTTCCTTTCAAATAGGCCCTATGCCATTCCTGTTACAAGAGCTTTGTATCTCCTGGTCCTGAAATCACTTCAGAAACATGCTAATGCTCCTTCTGTGCACTCCGCAAGCACTGCTGGTGAGTGACCTGACATACACTTCTTCCCCCAAGCATGCTCTGCTCCAGGTCTTACTGACCTGAGACGCAAAAGCAAGTAGGACGGTGACTCTGCTTTTATTCCCACACAGCACTTAACAGTAATCCTGAACCAAATAAGGCATTTACACCAAATCACTTCAAAAAAAACCTCACCTCAGCGTATTTGGCTGGAATATCAGCTTTCTCCACACCATAGTGATGTTTGCAGTTTGTGGCTGCAGCCACTTGAAGCACCACCTGACCCACACCTGCAGGGAAGAAAAAACAAACCTGAGAAACAGTTTCAAGTAGGAAACCACTGCAAGGGGATGTAAAACCTTTCAAAGCAAAGAGCAGGGGAAATGCAGTTAATCTGTGGGACTGCGCCCCAGTGTACAACTTCAATTCCCAGTTGTGCCGTGACACTTCCCACATGAGTCCTGTCTCTCTCTCAACTGAAAACCAGATTTGAGGCAAGGTGCATTACCAAAGTCCCATTTCGACAGGAAATATTAAGAATCTGGTTTCAGTAAAAAGAGTCTACATCCTAACTAGAAAGTAAGCAATGCAATTTCACTTTTCTTACAGAAAAGAATTTCTAGTATCGTAGTTCTGAGTTTTATATTTTTCAATACATCGAGCATTTCTTATGATAAGACCACAACATTTACAACAATGTTTGTACTGATAATTATTCAGTGCTACTCTCTTAAATATTACAGGCTCATTTTCACAAATTCAGACAGATTTCAGAATAACTACATTTTAAATTTTTTGTCCACAAATTTTATATGTATTCCATCAAGTCTACAGATTTTGCATTGTAATTCACTATTTAATTAAGTAAATGAACAAACAGCTATACAAACCCTACCACATACCAAAACAAATACTTGTTGGTCACATACCTATGCCATCAACTTAAAGACTCGCTAAAACATTTGTCATTGTGCTGCATTTCACAGTGAACACCAGTATAAATATTGCTGGGCTAATTCTGAAAACATGTAAATCTTACTTCTATATGAGCTACTGCAGAATATTACTTTAGAAAATACTTAAGGTTCAATACTCAACATTTCAGAAGCAACCACTATGTCGGGAAGACTAAGTCTTACTTAAAAATGCATGAGCTTCCTTTCACTCCAAATTCCACTTGCATCAGACGTTACCAGTGGTAATTAGCTGCCATTCCTACACCTTGCCTGAATGCATTCCCTCTCCCCACCCAAGCTCATGTTAAAAAGAAAAAACATTCGTTAAATTTCTCTCTGTATGAGCGACCCACATTTTACAACATTTTCCATTGCACATTTGATAAAGCAGTCACTTCAGATTTTCTTAAAACATCCAGCATTCATCAACAGTATTCTGATGCACCGCCGTTGTCTATGACTAACTCAAAATGCATTCTTGTCTCGCCAGTGCACTTAATCATTCTGCAGATGACCACATGGGAAACGAGTGAATCCGAGAGGATAGTCCATGTGCACAGAAAACATATTGCTGTTTTCCATGTCATTGGCTGCCGGCAGGAAGCGGCACTGGTAATTGAAGGGGTGGAACTCCTGCATTTAAACCATTACCACTCTAATGTTGTCTGGCACAATGAGAACTGCGGTGCCAACAGGGGGTTTTGTTGTTGGGGCTTTTTGGTTGGGATTTATCTTTTGTTGCGCCAATTCTCATTTTGCATACACAAGCATATTTTATACACAAGTAAATATGGATGTACGCATTTCTGGAAGGGGGAGAGCATGGACAATCGATGATTGATGAGGGAGAACTGTTTCACTGTTTCTTGTTTATGAAGAGCCAGAAGGACAATTAAAGGATGATCAAGAACACGCTGCATTGTCAGATATCACACAGTATAAGTAGTTAATCTTGTCTTTCTTTGGCTTTTCTTCTTACAAGAACTTTGTATTGTGATTTCAGTTTGCCTAATGATGATACATACCTCCATAAATCCCTCCTGCAGTGAGCCATATATTCCTGGCATCACACACAAAACTAACAGACAGTCCCGCACCCTGGTGGGGGTCTAGCCCTGCTGCTCAGCCGCTGCCACATGCATGCGGTTATTGGAATGGCTTTAAATTTACAGACAGAAATAATTTGCTGTGACAGTGTTTTTTTATTTACACTGCATTCAATAGCACATTGATTACAATTTACAAAAAAGTTTACTCCTTCAGTACAGACTTCACAGCTATGTTCTGGTTTTAATTGCTTCAGTACTCCAAACATTAAAAGCCAAAGACTTCTGAATCTAAACCATTCCTCTCATACGGCCTTTTTAGGCTGTGAATTTTTACACTGTTGGCCAATCTCCATGATTAAAGCAGGGAGAAGGTTAGCACTAAAAACTTGATTTGATTTCTGATTATACCAGGTAGAAGTATCTACCATTTGAGCTTGGTGCATAATCAGCAGCACTGCAGGACTTCAGATATTATCTTCTTTAACCTTCCTGGACAAACAATTGTGAGAAACTATGGCAATTTTTTTCTTCCAGATGGAAAATAGTTTGTCAGACTTGATGCCATTCTAAATGTCATCTGAACAGAAGTCATTCAAACAGGAAATTTCAGACGTAAGTTCTACTGAGAAAGGGGGTTAAAAAAAATTACTGAAGATCCCCAACTGGAGACATATTAAGATTTATGGGGAACGGCAGTCCTGCTGTATATAAATTTAAAATATATTTGATTTTTAACAACTGATCATATTTTTAAAAATTTTCCCCCAGTAGTCCTGTATTATACCAACAACAAAACCAAAACATACTTCATTTAAAACCCATCCAATAAAAGGGGAAATTCTTACTATTCCTTTCCTGTTCTCAACCAGATTTTAGCAACAAAAAGAACAACATCATCACCTTACTCAGTATATCTCTTCCACATGTGTTTGAGTCATATCTGGTTTATTTACCAACTAGAAACATCTATTTCTTTTTACAAATCTGTCCTGTTCACAAGATACAGTTGTGGGTTGTAAGCCAACAACTTGGGGGGGGGGTCTAAAGGCAGCTGAACAGTACCTCAGAGAGGAAAAAAACCTGTTTCATTTTCAGATTCCACACCAAGTGTTTCACGCTGGCACAGGAAAGGTCAAGAAATCACATTTTCAGATATGAAGGGCATAAATTGAATCCACTGAAAATAGATGAAGTCTTAGAAATGGAACTGCTATTGTTATCTTTCAAGTATCATTTTTAATATAGTTTCTACTTTGTAAGTGTGTACTCCAATAGCAGCAGAAACCAAGAGTTTCCTGTACCAAGAGTTTATTGCATTCGTAGGCCCACATTTCACTAACACCACAGGGAAGAACATCTGGGATGTCTGTTTGGTCTATTTAATCTTGTCATAAAAAGCAGGGGCATCATTGGGGATTATCTAGAAAAGGTGCTTACCCCTGTAACACAATCCTTAGTCCTGGTTTACTTTCCAAATAGGAATTTCGCTTTTTTTTATTTTAAAGAAATAAAAAAACAACAAGCAGAAACACAAAAAAAAAACCAACTTAAGTTATTGGTTACTTACCACTGCCCAAGTCAACAAACAGATCATCTTCTGTCATCTTAATTTCATCTATCATTTGGGCCACTAAGTCAAAGGAAGTTTCTCCGTAGACCTCTGGGGAGAAGGGCTCATAGTTGTTGAGTTTCTCTGGATCAGTCACCGAGTGGTTGTACACTTGCTGCAGGATGTGCCGGAGCAGCCCATTGGAGGGTCGAGTGTTCAGTTTCATCGGTTGAGTGGTTCCCTTCCACTAAAGATAAAGAGCAAGAAGGAGATGAGCCCAACGTGAGGACAATAAAACGCCACCAGGACAAGGCTGCACTGGCATAACACAGAAATGAGAGAAATGCCCTCCCATCCCCTCACTCACAAGCTGCACTGCAGGTGCTCAGTAAAGATAAAAACAGTAAACAATACTAAAGAAACTATGCCACGCTGATGGCTCTGTTCTTTGTCTCACCTCAACAACTAACAGGTAACTTCAAATATGCCTGCTGGAAATAAAAGAAACATCAAAATCAGTAGGCAATGTAAAGCTTAGTACGGAACATATTTGGAGTAGGTATAAAAGTTTCTTAACTCATTTTTTATTTACTGATCCCCACTGAACTGATGCTGACTGTACTGTCAACATAAGCACAGTTTCCTTTTCAGGAACCATGGGACGGGAGGGATCGTGTGTACTCAAACAGGGAGGGGCAAGAAAGAGATGGAAATCGAGCTTCCTTTTTCTTCAGAAAAAAACCTTGTCCTAAACATAAAAGTTGTTAAGTTCTAAAAATGTTTACCTCTCCCTTTGATAAGGAAAAACAAACAAAAAAGGACAACTTCAGATCCCTCCTAAACATTATTCAGATGGCAAGAAGAAAATTAAACCAATCGGGTTTGCTATTTCAGAGAGCAACTGCAAATGCTGAACAGCTTCTTCATATTTTTAGCTGTTTACCAACATACAAAAGAAGACAGTGAAGGAGAAAGTGAAGGAAAGCCTGGCAAAACAGTCTTGCTGTGATAATACTGCACACTTCAAATAATTCCCACCAAAAAAATTCTAGAAAAAAATTCACCTATATTCTCAAAATTAAACAGAATAGTAACATTAATTCATTGTTCATGTTTTGGTTCCTCCAATTCAACCTTTTATAGGCATAAGAAAACCAAAGAGCTTGTTAAATTGCTCTGAAGAGAGATTACATTCCTGTCTTGCCAGGGTGATCCCCAGAACGGAGCAGCTGACCCGAGTGGCAAGCAAGGAAATTCCTAAGCCACGGATCACTTCCACAATACACAGGAGAGTTCATATGGATTATTTAAGTACCTATAAGCCACAGATTTCCCCTTGTAAAAGTAAACCTACATCTACACACTAAATGCCAAGAAGCCTTTTCTTTCCCCTAAAGATAACTTGGCTATTTTAAAGTGCAAAAACAACAGTGCCAGGAGTGCACACTAACGAGTAAGAGGTTACAAACCTGCAGTTTAGGGGGAAAAAAATGCCTTTTTTTTTTCTTTTCTACCCATAAGAATGTCCCTCCAGTACTAACTCCTTGACTGCCCAGGTATGATCAAGAAAATAAGGTTTAATATCAGACTTAACTCCCCAAAAGAACAGAAGTGCTGAATACTGGTGATGCAATTAGACTAACACATAATCCAGTGCTAAGTCAGTCACCGCTTTCTGGCTGTTATTATATGTGAATTCAAACCAGCTACATAAACACGACGGCGCACAGCAAAGGTAAATACGTACCAACTGATGAATGCTATCAATGGCTCGGTTGTACTTGTCACAAAGCCTCTGCATGCTTTCGAAGCTACATGGGGAGAAAGAACTCAGGGTCAATTAAAAGCAGAGAGCTCTAAAAGGCAGGTTTGAAGGTACAACCTTGTGCTTTTTTGTCATCACACACACTGTGAGTAGGTGGCTGTCCAGGGTTTGTTTCTTGCAGAACATGTAGTTACATACACAGCTTTAGGATTTTATTGTGTAGAGTTTCCTTTAAAAAAATTCCTCAGCAGACCAGGAGTACATGACAAAAAATATTAGTTTCTTTAATTAACGGAAAAAGGACTGAACTCAATGTAGGATTTATTAGAAAGTTTTGTATTCTCACAGTCCATTACTTCCCTTCCATATACTCAGCTGCACAGAAACTTTAAGACATCTGTACATTTCCCTCCTTTGTTCCATCATCTCTCTATAATAATCAGTCCTGAAGCAAGCAGATACTTTTCTAGAAATTAACTCTGGGACTGAAAATGCAGACAGACCCAGGACACAATCTAAAATTTCACCCATCAGAAAAGCATTCTGATTGCTGCATGGGTGGTTGGGATTACAGTCAATTCAGACAGATGCCTTAATGACAGAAGCTGAGAGGATTAAATAAATTCATCTCAGGCCAGGGAAGAAAAGATATTACCAGGAACATCATCCGTTATGTAATCAGACCCACAGCACAGCAGCAAAAAAAACAATCCAAGGAGTCTCAGGAGTAAGATAATTAAATCACGGCCATCTCCACATCAGGAAAGGGATGAGGGGACCAGGGGACATCAGAAGGACGTGGCTTTTCAGTCTCTTGTGAATCTACACTGGCAGGGACCCCTCTCAGAGAGGTGCTGCTGCCTTCCACTGCAAGCTTTCAACTGCCCATGTTTATTTCCATGGTAAGACAAAGCAAGAGGCTGAAATGGGTTTTTGTCTGCACAGTGTGTGCGCTTCTATAATCTGCTGCTTTTCATTCACATCCATGTGTCAGTCTGCCTGCTACAAGTAGTTTTTCTGACAATTTTTTTTGAAAGGAAGTAAAAAGACTAAAACCACAACCAAAAATCACAGGTCTATGACTTCTCTGAAAAGCTGTAGAAAGGTAAGTGGGGTGTCACTTTTGGGAACAGATGGGTTTCTCTTTTATCCGTATTGCTGCCAACCACACAAGTTAAACATGCCCAGTGAGGATGACAGAACTATAAAAGTTAGAGCACTGCAGTTGCTGTGAGGAGTCCACAAATCCAAATTAACAGATTTGACCACAAGGGATGCTCAAACCTGATTTCTCCTTTTGAATTTTTCAGGAGGAAGAGAGGGACTAACAAAGACTTGCAATGAAACAATTAAAATCAAATTAAGAGAGAAGGAAGCAATACCTCAAGCAGATCATGATACAAGCATCCGGTGCTCAGGACAATAGCCAATGATTAACTAGAGCACTACAGTTTCATCTACAAACCTCATTCTATAAGTCTAATCATGCCATGGAATTGAACAAATTCAGTCCTTCCCATGAAAGCAGCTACGCAGGTTTTTGTAACCTGCAGCTTGATGGTCACTTCTTTTTCCAGTCTAAGCACAGCCAAGTCAATACACAGAACCTGAGGCCTCTCAGAATCTGCCTCTCCCAGCCTCAGGGTGAATACCACACACTATATATTCATTTCAAGGTGTTTGTGGAATATGTGTTCACATGTAACTACAAGCACCTCAAAATTACTTCTAACTGCCCAGAAGAGCAGTATGAACAGTTTGCTTTTTAATTTCGCCCCCCACCCAAACTGCATCCCCACTTGCACCGAATGGGGAAGGTTAACGTCCCTCAGTCACACAGCGCTGACAGAGCTCTGGCATGCCACTTTCTAAACAGGAATTCGTAGTTACTACAAAAGTAGAAACCTCAGTGCCATTCAGATTCCTAACACTGGACGCAGTCCAAGAGCGCAGATACTGATCATTGTTTTGGAGTGAGTAATTCCAACGTACACCAGAGCTCAACTTTCTGCTGCGTGGAGTTTCCAATTATGTCCTTAATCCAACAGCCTTTGCCAATATTGCTGTTACACATTTCCTACCAAAATAACTCTGCTGATTTTAAAGCCAGTTCTAAAAGAAAACTTCAATTTATAGTGCCTAAGAATAACCAGTTACAAACTGATTCACTATAAACCATGCTGGCCTGTACTCTTGGTAGGAAAAAAATATTCCTCTCACCTTTTTGTATCATAGTCAATTAAAACATAGTTTTCCATAGCAAGCTTGAGATCTGGGATTTCTTCACAGACCCACCTGGAACAAGAGAAGAAATAAAGAATAAAAATATCTCCAATTAAGTATAATAAGGCAGTCTGTTGCAATTCTAGACTGACATTGCTATATGTTAAGACAGAATACTGCAGCAGACCTGAAAGATCACAATACTGTTAGGAGTGAGGCAGACATCACAAAATGGTAATTGGAAAGCTGCAATAGTTCGCATTTGTATTGCATAATCAGTAAGGTGCCCATAGACAGTGGCAGTAGCATAAAGCTCTTGAAATAGCACAACTTCAAAACGAGGCGATAAATGTATTCAAGGCGTCTAAAAATACTCAAAGCCGTGGCTGATGCTAATCTAACATAAAATGTAATGCAGAAGTGCAGTATTTTGAAAGAATTCTGATACAGTAACAAGCTCTGACAAAGCTGAATGTGGAGAAGACATTTCCTACAGCATCCCAAAACAACGCCACCAACCATTCATTGCAAGGATAATGCTCCAAACTGCACTTACACCTTGAGTGACCCAACCCAAAACAGATTTTCAAAAGTTATTTTGATAGAAGATCCCTTTCACACGATAAGTTAACACTTGCAGCACATCCAACAACAGCATCTCACAGAGAAGATCCTCACTCTTGGAATGTAGGAAATTCCTTTCAAATACAAGGTAAAAGCCACATAAGCTTTGCACACACTTTCCTACAGAAGCGTGAAAATGGGAAAGCACTACCATCATCAGAAACGCTCAGAGCATGTCATAGGATCAATTCCAATAGGAATAGCAGAGTTTTTTCTTCATATACATTGATGCACGCTTCACTTAAAATGGTAGGAAAAAAAATTACTGGAGATCCAACAGTTCTGGTTCCTTCTGGCTGATTTACCCTTATCAAATAAATATACAGGCAAGTGAAAAGCAGAACTTCTACATCCATGGCTGACTCCTTCTGACTACTATCTCCCACCTCCCTAAAAATGTTAGGGCTCTGATCTCTGCAAATTTTTTGCTCTTAGATTAGGGAAATGGGCAGTCAACAGCTGTTTAGCACTGGCTTGAAGAGATAAATACTTCTTTGCATTCTTTTACCTACCACTTTCACAACCACATTGCGGTTGCTTTGCACAAGACAGGCAAAGGCAGCACAAAAGCCTTCTAACACGCTGCATTCACTGCAATCACGCTTAAAATGCAGTTGTGAAACATTACTTTGGCCCAACTGCTTTCTAGCCCAGTTTTCCCCTTGCCTTGAGCTAGCACAGCACAGGAAGCTCTAGCACCAATGACTCTGGCCATCACTTTCAGCACCATGTCTGTTTAAATCCCTTCGGAAAGGGTCTTCTCAGTAATCACACTGGAAAATGATGCCACAAGTTCCCAAGGCGCAGAATCAGTACAAGTGAACTGGAAGTAGCAGTAGCAGTGCATATCATGCCAAGGTTTGGTAGTTAGAAAAAGGAATTTATTGAGGAGAAAAACTCTCAGCTCTGGCCTCATAACACATTCTCCCCCATCAAGGACCACAGATAGATGCGGATTTCACATCTGTAAGTGATATTGTCAACACTACCAGGTAAGCTCTTGACCCTCACACTCATGCTGGGAGCAAACAAGGCTCATCACTACCTTTTCCTAGGCCATACATGACTGACTGAATTTCAAGCTCAGGTGGCTATGCAGACAAAACACTGTCCTTTGTACCTCACCTGTATCTGCACCGTCCAACCATTAAAACCTGCAGAAGATACAGCCTCTGTCAAGAGGAAGCCTGCATGGTAAGGATCTGAAACGCTTCATGAGAACAGCTTTTAAACAGTCTAATGTGGATACCACACTTACATCCCTCAGGTGTTTGAGGAGTTTGGGTTAGTGTTTAATAAAAGTTGCTCTACAGCTGAAATAACAGCGAGCTATGTCATAACCACTGCCTGCATTGGGAAATGTTCAGATTTCGTATGTGTCTTTCACCTTTATCCTATGCTAATAAGGGCATTCTTCCCACACCACACAAATGCAGGGAGATCTGTCTTGCAACTATATCAATTCAGCTTAGAAAATAATTTAGAGCTGCTCAGTTAAATGATAACTGCTGCCCTCCTTTAGCTCCTGTCTCAAAACATCCATTCACCGAGATGCGGTAAGGCGCAGGAAAGGGTCGTAGCCACGTCAGCGTTGAACACTTACCGAATTGTCTCAATAATTTCATGAGCAGCATCATGGTGTTTGTCCTGAAATAAAAAGAAAATACGTTTTCAGAGAGACATCAGGTGTAGCCTTTTTCAGAAGATTACAGGAATCACAATCTTTTTAAGAATACAGATGGCAAGCATACTAGGAAAGGAGGCTTTGATTGCCACCCAGGCCATTAAACCCATCAAAATGAGCCCTCTAAGAAAAAATAAAGCTTAAGGAAATACATTTTTCAGGTTTCTATGGAGGAGCAGAAGATTTATATGAAGGAACTGTCATTCAACTTATTTTTTTGTCGTTTTCTGAAATCAGGAATTGTGTAGCTGATACCCTTGAGGATTATTGGTATGCAGTAGGTACTTGACTGCAAGTTTCACAATGAACAGCTGATTTCATTGCCCCAGCATCTGGTGCATGCTCACATCTCCATATGGGCAGTAAGATTCTAGCACAGTAAATGGCTTTCTAAAATAAAGCATCAAAAACAGTAGGAGTGGATATCGGTGTAGGAAAAAAAACACACCTCACAGCACACAAAAACAGAAGGAGGCCTGAACATGCAGACCTTTTCATGAACTGGAAAACAAAAAGCACGTACACAAAATGTATTAAAACTTGTGCATTACAAGTATACACTAGGCTGTGAGGCACAGATTTTTTTTTTTTAGTTTAATTTGGGAGTTTACTCACAAGCAACTAAAGCACAAGTGAGTTTAGCAAACCATTCCAAATTCAGTGCCAATAAAGCCCTGGAGCTGCACGCATATGCGCCATGCTAGGGGAAAAAAAAAACACCAAACTATTTTAGGAAAGTTACAGGAATTCCTCTAAGTATTGCAGTATCCATCTCGCGAAGCCTTACTCACCAGAGTCTATCTGCACAAAGTTAAGGTTATATTTAGACGCTTATTTCTGAATGTGGCTTTGACCTTTTAATTAGGAGTCCAGAAGCTAAGGACCTTCTGTAGAGTGAGAAGTGTAAAGGCTCACTCTCTCTCTCAAATAATTTCCCTTGTTTTCTGTTGCAGAAATGTCATTTCTACAGAGTTACCAGTGGGAAATGCTACAGCAAAGGGTAAGGACAACCCACAGAGAGCAGAGGCTGGGGTAGGGGATGGATTAAGAGAAACACCAATGGACAGATGACAGAAAACAGCTGGGAATATTTATTTAAGACATGGAAGGACATGATGCAAGTCAAATAAAAGCCTTTTCCATCAGCATCACAGCTTTCAGATCTGATTGAGGAAATGGGTTTCCCCTTCTATAAGCAGTTTATATACTCAAGATCAACCAGTCTTGTAGAAGTTCTCACTCCAAGAAACCTCTACACAGCCCTTTGGACACCTGGATAAAATCTCATGACCGAGAGGGACGAAGGCAGGCAAACATTTCTGAAGTCCATTAACAGTAAAGGTATGAAGAAACTCTTCCCATTTTACTAGGAAAAGCTTTTGTTTTCAGAACACAAAAAGTCAACCCTGTATCTAGGAGCCACACAAGCGACTAACCAAAGAAAACCAAAAAATTCCAGTTACAACATGAAAAAGGAGAAATGGCCAACACGAAAGTAGTCAGGACATCTGGGATTGTATCCACAGTGGTCCAGAAGCTGAGCATTACCTTGGTCACAGTTCATAACAACACACCAGTGCTGCACAAACACCTCGATCATCACAAGCCATGCACAACAGTGCTGGGGTTGTGCTTCTTCCAGCGTTCGCCCAGGGCTGGGACACCCCAAATGCAATGGAAACCAATAAACACCCTATTTCCATTCAGAAATGTCAGATAAGTAACTCTATTGATAAATCTTGGCCTAGAAAACATGGAAGCGATTGAACTAAAATCTGCTCCTGACACTCAGTACACCCATACAAGAAGAAAAAGCATACTCCTAGGAGGAGGACTCTTCTTTCTTTTCCTTTCTTATCTACAAAGTATAAAAATAACCCAAGACAGTCAGCTCATCCATAAACATCCCCTGTAAATTTTCACCTTTCGCTACATGTAGAATTATCACAGTAGAAAGCCCTTGGGCTGATCTAGCTCTTCCAGTAAACTGTGTTCCTGTATAGTAAGAATATGCTTTATCAACATAAGCACATTATACCGGAAAAGTGAATTCATGGTTATTCTGGCATAACCGTTTTCTCTGAAGAAGTTATATTCTTCATTGATGGTTTGGGACAGTTTCAGTGCTAGTAGAACACCAAGAGAAACCCCTTGTCCTACAGGGCTTCGTGAAAATGCCCCTATAAATGATGAAAATTGCTTAGTTAACAGATTCCTTTGTCTTGGGTTAAAAATTGAAAAATGTTTTTAAAAAATAACCAAAACAAAACACAATGCACATGTACAACTGCAGATCATCCAATTTAAGCAAGTGGTTTTACTGACACAACCTCAAGTGGAAACTCCAGCCAAAAGGGGCCTTTCGGAGCTTAGTTTGTGCCATTATTTAGGAATAATGAAGTTGAAAACAGTTCCACATTTATTGTTGCTAAACTTCTCATGTTGAAACACTTACCAAGTTTACTGTACTCCATAACTAACATACTCTGGCTGGCTGGACAAGCTCCCAAGATCTCATGCAAATCTAGCAAACAAAATCAGAGATGACCACCCTGTATTTCTTCAAAGTGGTGAAGGCCATGGAAAACGGAGGAGGGAAGTGGGAGGAAATGGATCTAAAGGAAATACAAAACAGCTTTTCTTTCTTTAGAGAACACTTTTGGTCCCATTTCAACATTACTGATATAAGATTTAATAAAAATAGACATTAAACAGCACCAGTCACCACATCTGTACTAATGCAATTGTCTATGACACTGATAGAGAACTTCAGAGGCAAGCTGAATAGAAACCTCACCAAAACCAGACTCCACTCCAACCAGCACCAGCCTCTAACACCAGCCTTTCCACCAGAGGCACTGGTTTTGGCCAGACACACCACTGAGATCAGTGCAGTGGCTTTGCCTCAGATCCTTTTACAAACCCAACAGATGAAGACTGAAACCAGCAGGTTGGGAGGGACTGACAGCAACTCCTGACAGCTCTGCTGCAGTCACAGCAGCCTGGCAAACCTCACACCCAGCACACTCAAAGATGGCCTGAAACTTCTCAAATTCACACTTCTACTATGTTTTCTTTTTCAGGCTACAGTGACCCAGGATCAACACAACAGCGTGCCAGCTACGCCTCTGGGCAGGCACCTTCCCCAGCACATCGTGTTATGCTTTGGCAAACACTCATTCGTGGGAGCACAGCTTTACGCTGCATCTGCATCTGTACTCGCAGTGCTGCATCAGTAAAATATCCTGGTGAAGAGCCTCCTACAAACAGACTGGCTATCAATCATGAAATATGCTGTGCAGAAGCCTTTTGGACGCATCTCAAGAAGCGTATCTGTTCTGTTCGCAGTCACGAGACGATGCTGCGGTGCTCTCTGTCACGAAGAGGAGCTCCATTCATCCTCCAACTCTGCTCCAAGCTGTTTGCCCTCCCTCCTTCACTGCTGTGAAGCAACTACGTGCTGCTTGCTGGCCTGGCTGTACTTCTGCTATGATCTCGTATTTATGCAGTTTGAGGGGCCCTTGGATTCTTCTGGGCCACATAAATGGAAGCTATTTCATGAGACAAGACCTTATCTCCTCAATGTGATCTATGCAGTAAGCACGTAAAGTAAAAAGTTGCAGTTTAGAGTAATTATTGAGAATGCCCAAAGCTATTCATAACAAGTTTATTAAAAAAAACATAAACATACATTAAAAGTTAGTTATTGCAGTCAATTCACTCCAGCTGAATTTTATAATAAAGGGTTCTTATTTTCAACCTAAACATTCAGTTTAAAATTGAAATGTGAGCTCCCAGAGAAAATTCAGTACTTTTTGCCAAGACATTTTATTGGAAAAATAAAGCTAGCAGACACTTTTTCTAAAGTCACTCATAAGAAAACCCAACTTTCTATGGAAAACAGCAGAGAATAGTTTGAGCCAGCACAGTCAAACAGCTTCACAGTTCCAATTCCTGTAACAGATTTCTCCATCCACATGTTACTACAATTCTGATCACTGAAGCCAGAAACACACCCACTGCTATTACTTCGAGTACACTGGTGCCCAGAAGCCCTACCAGCACGCACGACTCCTGCATACACACCACAACAAGCAGAGGCTTCTACAGAAATCAGCAACCTGCGACAGCAGTTTTGCCCTTTAGAACATGGAGATTGGGCCATAAAGCAATTTTTAAGAGTTTGATCTTTCCCTTCACCTCCTCTCCAAAAGCATCCTGATTGTTCCCAGTTAGGACCTTTTCCAGCAGTTTAGGATCAACTGATCACAGAGGGGAAAATAAAGAAAAAAAAGGATAATGAATGTCTCTGTGTGCTTCAGTGCTCAAGTCAGCCAGCCCATTTTTCTACAAAAGACACTGTGTATCTTGCAGATGTAAGAAGCCCTATACGTGGTTTTAAAGGCCAAATAGGTGCTCAAAAGCTCTTTCCAAATATGTATTTTTGTGCAATCATTATCACTTTCTACAATCACGTACTCTTTGTTAACCCAAATTAAAAGAAAAAAAAAAAAAAGAAAAAACCCATCAACGTGACCAGACCTTCTAAGTTGTCAGCAGTAATCACAGCTATTACTCTAACACCTACATAAGAAAAGTAAAGGAGCCCCAATCATATGATGCATCATACAAACAATACCAGGCACATTTCAGTTATCTATATATAACTTCACTCTACGAAGCACTACATTTCCAATAAAGACAGCTGAATCTGAAGCTTTCGCAGAACACTCTACAAGAGCAGGGCGAGTGAAAACAACCATTTGTTACATTTTTGCCACAAGCTAGCAGTTGTGCAGGCTTGTCACTCACACCAAATGCAAAGCCCTACACACCCTCCGACCAGGTGTGGCTCCTTTCATTACATTGTTTTGCTAGGGTAACATCCCTCGGGGTAACTTAATGGCCTTATTTTGATATAATCCTGTAATCCTCTCCCATATCCCAGACTCTCGAGTGCACTTGTACAGGACCAGTTATCTCACAGTCCAACAATTTGTACTCTACAGTGAATCTCTAACCTAGAGAGATTTAATAGATTTAAACATTTTACATTTCTTTCTCAACAGAACGAAAATATTCAATTAAATCAGGCAGCCATCATTGTCTGAAGCAACGAACAACACCCTAGTGCCTCCCCAATTTCATATGTTTTTATATTTAGGTCCTTCTTAAGAAGCTCTACTTACCCTGTTGGGGCTTGAGGCTGAACACTATATTTTTCTAAACTTCATTTCCCCACATGCAAAATGGGACCCTTGTGAGATCTGATCGGTCTATGCAGTAAAGACAGCAAAAAGCCCAAACCTGCAAACCTGAGAGGGGAACAAGTGGTTGGAAAATCCGGATGTATTCTTAAAAAAAGAAATAGTCAAGCACCTTCAATCAGTAGCTCTCAAAGCACCTCACAAAGAACTTCAATAGCCCTTCGTCATAGACAAGAACATTTTTGTGCATAGCTTTGACTGCCCAAGACTAAACTGCCCCACAGCAAAAGCCATCCTCACCTGGTGCCTGACTCACCAGACCACACTTCCTCCCCCCAAAACAGGCTGGGTGACCAAAGCAGCTCTTCAGAAACCTGTGAACAAGCTGTGGTCAAGCATCTGCAAAGCAGGAGGAAGAGATCTCCTACAAGATTTTCAACCGTCCACCAGATGAATCCAAACAATTCAGAGAAAACAAAACCTGAAACAAACTAGTTGAAAATAAACCAATGGCAACACTCATATGTGATTGTCTTTAGATACCATTCTACTTCTAACGCTAACC